GGCTAGGCGAGATCTGTGGCCATAAAGTAAACTTGTCATTACATTGCGTTCAGCGATGTTGTTAGATAATTGCTTATTGAAAACAGAACCCTTGCTACTTAGCTATATAATGGATAGTCGTCCTCTAATATTGTCTTAGTCTGATGAGTAAGAGGTCTGGCGTTGTTAATCACCTTGGATTAACGTAGGTCCTCTTCAGTGAGTCAGTCTAGTCCTCCTTTTAAGCTTCTGGTATAATTACTTCTCGTACAAAGATACTAGAGATACTCAAGCTCTTATTTGGCTTTCGTCTTCATTTAAGAACAGTCGCTTAGAGCCTGTCGGCTTTCATAAATTCTCAGGTAATAGCAAGTGGGCCGTGGCGACCTCAGAGAAGGTGGACCCTGTATGGCGCTGGCGTTAGAATAATGACTAAACAAATTTCCGTCTATCAACTAGTTTTATCCCGAAAACTTTAGTAACGGACGTCTTCCGGTATTTTTGCGTTGCTACAATAACAAGTCACGAGGTTTTGCAGAAAACTGGAATGACACTGACAACAATGGCTGGGGCATGAGGCTCATTTCCGTGCGTCCGTTGCCATTGGAGACGCCTAAGAGGAAACGAAGTAGATGACAAACGTATCTTCTGTCTTGTGCAGTTTTTGTTCACGGTCTCTTTTATGACGTAACTAATGAAACTTCAGTAGGCTACAGACGTTGGCTAACCTGGTTTATTTTACAGGGCGTTTGCCGAGCTCCAAAACTGAAGATTCGAAGCCATTTCCTACGAGTTTGTTTAAACTGGGAGATTTTGCACAAAGCACGATAAATTATTATTCTCTATATTCGCCAAGTCTGATCAGAAAAAAACTGTCGTAGAAGGAAGCAGAACACTGGTGAGGTGCTACATGTAAAGCCACAAGTTTTCAGGTACTGGCTGAATGGGGGAACTCGATCGACGAAAGAGGATTTTCGTTAGTCTGGCGTTTTAGATGAATATTCGATCCCAACATCAGAAGCAGTTGTCCTTCCTTGATGTGCTCGTCAGACAAAGCCTTATCGGTGAACTTTAAACGACGGTTTGTGGGAAGGCAACGAATACCAAACAGCTTCTTACTTTTCACAGCAACCATCCGGTGGCTCACAAACGAAGCTGTTTGAAGACGACCTTCAAACGGACTTAAAATCGTTGCAGCAAACCGGAGGAAGGAGCATGTGAGGCCCGTTATTTCTGCGACCAGTTTGTGCTAAATAGTTATCCGAAGGCATTAATAAGTCGCTGCCTACACGGTCGCCTCTCAGAAGACCCAAACACCAACGATATAACATTCTCTGCCATACATCAAGGACGTTTCGAAGCGACAGAGCGCAGTACTGCGGACATAGGTGTTGGAATTGCACACCGACCCAAAACCACCATGCGCAGCAGGGTCATGAAAATTAAATACCGGTTAAAGCCTGAGAAGCAATCTTGGGTATTGTACCGCATCCCACGCCATAACTGTCCTTGTAACTACACAGGCTAGACTGAACGCGGCGGAGCATTATCACAAGTGGCCACCCACACCTACGAAATGAGTCATGAGTTTAACCTCGCAGCTGCCAAAATGATCGCCCACATCGGAAACAAAAGAGTTCGAGGAATGGTTGAAGTTTGGTCCTCAGGTGAGAACTCGGTCGACCGATTTATCGACCTGGCGCCGGCGTACGGAGGCATGCGCAGCTACCTCCAATCTTGCGCCATCGATCGATGATTAGTTAACACGCCCTATTACTGTCGCATGTTCTGTTGCTGTTGCTGTCGCTGACGATGGGCTCCTACATGAGTTCGAAAGCTCAGAACAATAAAGAACATGTTCCGGTACATACACCTGAATCTCGAACTTTCACCTTCATTCAAAAAGTAAAAACGCGTAAATACAGCAAACGCACGGGGGACGCAGTGTCCGCAGAACATAGTGACCTAATAAAACTAGCAGTTATATTGGATTGTCATGACTGGACCACTAATGGTATGCTCAGGCATTTCTGAGTCATTAATCACCGAGCATTCATCGATAGCTCTGAATTTGACCTGATTATTAATCGTCCCTTCTGCTCCTCTTTACTGTCTTCGACAGCGGCCTTAATCCGCAATACTCGATGGGCGAAAGTAAACTGCCCATGAGTGATTGAAATCTGCATCAAAGGGAAAGAAAGCAGTCCGTTTGGGGCTGGATTGTGCGTCACAAAACCATGACGCAAGCAGTTTGCAAATTGTAAGGACTCGCCTAACTGGACGGTAAGACCGGGTCGTTTTGAGTCGGTCGCAGATGGACCCATGGGTTATCCTTCAAAATCTTCGGTCATCTTAACTCAGTGAACTCCCCCGATGATGATGGCTCAACAATTAACGACACGGACGTGACCGACCGGGCGACTATCGCTCTAATTATGATAATCTGCGATGGAGGCGATAGGTGCATTTGGTCCTATCAAACAATGCAATGTTTTGCTTATCTGATGTTGAATTATCTTGTGGTCGTCTTTGGGGTTGCAAATGAAGCCGAATTCTGGAGATGACCAGGGTGCGTTCCGTCCAACAGTTGGCACCACTTATCGTCGTGATTACTATCACGGTCGGTGGTCACTTCTCCAAACGAGGACGTGGTCGAGCCGGTGCCATTGCCGTGAGCAAGGATATATTCATGTCGTTTTCCCCCGGACCGGAAGACGGAATGAGATAGTGGTGCAAAGAAGGCTGTGGAAGAAGGGCGCTCACGATCGTGTTACGGAACTCACTCGTCCTGTTGTGCTCTACGGGCTTTCTCTCGAGTCCAACCAGCAGCCGCACGGCGGCGCATGATATAGGCAGAATGTTATTACCGACAAAGACAAGGAAGAGTTGAATGGCCATTTCTGGCTTATTAGCCGTCATCAGCCAAAAATAACAAACCCCGAAGCGCGGAACACCTAAGGCTTGTTTCCGCGACCTGTCAGTTAGAAATCCACTGAACGCGTGTGCCTATAGGAGGAACAGCTCACCGGCGCTGCAGCTGCCTTATTCTGTGGCTACCTGGCATTCCCAGGTAGCATGGATTTTGCCGACGTGGGCATTGCGGACAACAAAAACAAAAAAATTGACACACATCGGCACGGACAAGACTAGTCAGTGTGTGAGCATAGGTGGTGACATGTGTTGGCCGCTTTGTCCCGCAAAGCGAAAACCTTGTGGTCGCGTGTCGGACAAAGCAATCTTCTGACGATCTTGATACTGATGGCGGAAGCAACTTCCTCGCGTCATTGTTCTAACTTTGGGCGTCCGCTACAGAAGGGGATCTATCCATCAGCCCTTTTCCACTTTCCTCTCTTCGCAGAAGCGGATCTCAAAGAGAATCTTAAGATCAGCGCAGTAGTGGGCAAATACTCGAACGGCCAGTGTTCTCCTACTTTGCTGCCGGCTCGCCATTCGATTTTCTGGGATTTTGTGAGTAATGTTAGTCTGGTAGCCTGTGAAGAGGCACGAAATGGGAACAAGGCTTTTCGCTTTTAGGTGTTGTTCGTTAGGATGTCTTGCATCTATAAGCCACGGCAGGTTTGATGGACAGCGTTTTTTGCCAGCAAAATTTTTGTAGCACATTTTCTAGCACTCTCGCAGCAAAGGGACAAGCACGGCTTCTCTAAACAGGCCGATAGGAGATTTCAGACGGCTGCCGAATCCCCCTATGGATCACGACTTTTGCGTAGTAGAAAGACAACCCCGAGTATTTTGCGTTTCCCAAGGGATTGCATGTCGTTTTCTCCGTAAGACATGTGGCTTGCGGGTGGGGAGGGAGGACAAAGATTAGTTCGGAGACATTGTGCGGTGCTATCATCGTCCTTGTCGAGCATTTGGTATCACTTGAGGCAACATGTCTGGGACTTCGGATAGACTGCCGGTTAATGATGTACCTAAGTGTTTAGTGCAGCCGTCAAGTGTCAGCGTCTTCTCAATCAGCAGAATAACACCGTCCTAAGATGCTTTCAGTTTCACTACGGTTTGTATATTCCGGGATTTTTGTTGTTTTTTTAAGTCTGCGAATTTCCGTCAGAACCCGATATGATTAGCTTTCACATGGAATTCATGTAAACTTGTTGGCATCTGTGCTATTGTCGATTTCAACCTTAGGCAAGCTGTTTTCCTCAAAGAGGAGACGCCGGATTTTTTCGGCACGGCCGTCAAGTCCGTTTAGGTGCTGCGGAGGTGTGCATTCAATGACTTCCCAAGTAACGGCATGAACTCGACTTCTCTCAACATTAGTGCCGTCCTTCTTGCGTTCTTTTCCAGCGGTTGCTACAATCCATTTTAGCAGTTGACACACACCATAAACTCCGGAACAAATAATTGGTTTCTGACATTATGAGCCTAGAAGCGGAATTCCGAGACAGTCCCAAAAAACGGAGGCAGCCACGTGGAGAACGACGTTTTTGGAAATGAAGCGAAGAAAAGGGAAATTTAATTTGTGACGGCAAACTTGAATGAACATCGTTTCATTTTCATGCAGAGAAATTGCGTTTTTTTCATTTCCGATAACTAGACGTCCGTCCGAATCATAGCGTGTTTTGGAGGACGAAAGCTCTCGGAATGACCGCCCCGGATGCTTGCTAATAAACAGAGCTACTGTCGCCGACGGGGCTGTTTGCATGGATAGCGCCTCGGAAACTTACTGTAAAATACAATTCGTACTACTTTTTGTAAGTAGTCACACCAAATTCGCACAGCATAGATTACTGAAACGAGCGTCCAGACGATATATTATCAGATACTACCGCCTAATTTAGTTGAAAGTAACCTTCAACTACGTGCGGACCACCAAATACACGGTAGGGAATTACTGTAGTGCCGAACAATAGTTATTTGTTGCAAATGACATACACTACGCACTAGCAGAAAAGAGAACCAATCAAATGCCAACGAACGGGATGACCACAACTTTTTTCACTGGCCGCCGCTACTTTTGCAGCAAAATAAAACAATAGTGGAATTTTTCACTTTGAACAATGGTTGGCAAGGAGCGGAAACAGAAGTCACCGCAGCCCTTTCAAAAGGAAACTCCTGGTCAACGGACAAAACGTGAGCCACATTGACGATTTTACGTACTATCAACTAACACCAGCGAATATGTGCACTTATATATTTATATACATGTAAGATTAAAAAAACGAAAGGGAGCATTAGTTTAATTTCCTAACACGCTATGTTAAAGATGTTTGTGCGTTTATTTTGTTCTCACAATCATAGACAAGGGATGAAATGCTATCTATATACGTAGTTTGTCTATAGCGGTTTTCCTCGCTGAGTTGCGATTTAATTTATACCAAAGTGTCGCACAATGATGATTAAATGACGGCCACGTAATTCTTTAGCATTTCGTTATGTTTTAAATGTATCCTACTTTGCTCAAAGTGGCAAGCGTGCAGTCTGAATCGTTTTTGTTGAATCCAAATCTGATAAGCAAAGGGAGAGTGGAAATTTCACAATTTGATCTGGAAACCCAATATAATATCATTTCATCCTGCTGCGTTAGACGTAAACTTCAGATCGAAAGCTCGTACATTTTCCATATTTGTCTAAAAGTGTTCTCTTTGGACCGAAAACTAAGACAGGGACGGAAGCGAAGAACACCAAGGGAACCATTAGACACACGTTTCAGCAAAAGTACATTCAACAATCCGCTCACTACATAGAAGAGTTTTACAAAGAAGGCTGGTTCTCAAACGCAAACTACTACTTGGAGACTGAGAACACTATTTGAATGCTAGTCTCAAACAGATGTTAAGAACGTTGTACACCGTCATTTAAAGTCGAATTACTTGTTACTGCAAATCCTCTTATTTGCGTTTTCTGTGCATAGTGGGAAATCGATAATTGGTATTACAAATACCACACCGTTTTCGGTCATATTATTTGGAGTTCCCGTTGTCAATTTCAGGTTGAAAGCCCTCGCATTCAAAAACAGACTGATATGCAAATGCTACTCGTTTTTATTTATCGTTAAGGGTCACAGTTAGGAAGATAAAAGATAAACTTTGAACTTCAAGTTACTGTGTTTTCATCCATGAGGCCACTTAAGGCAGTTTTGCATAGAAATATCCATAGAATGCTGATTTATACCTTCAAGGAATTGAGTTAATAGTGTCGTAGCTGTAAGAATTAATAGAGTTTTAGTTGTGTAGCCTAGACCGAATTACCTGCAAATCAGGTGGCAAACTGAACTACTCGGTTAACGTTTACCTGTGCAGGAGTTGGGCTGTCGCTAATGGGTATTAAATGTGTTCGTCGGATGTCTTCTTACGGTATTTCATGCACATATATACACAACAGCTTATGAGGCGGACGAGTGCTAGCAGAAATGTCGGAAATGTGTCGATTGTTGATCATTTTTGAAATTTCGCCTGCTTTTGTACATTTACTCAAGTCTGACCACGACCTGGGAACTGACGAAAGTCCGCTAATAAAGTTCTCGCTTTTCTTGAAGAACCTATTGTTTTGAAATTATATTTATTGAAATATCTGCCCTTATATATAGATATATATATCCATATACAGAAAGTAAGTATCACAATAAAAGGGGAAACCGGGATAGCCAGCTCTGATTGAGACCGAGTCTCAAGGAAAAATAGGACGAGCATGCACCGTAATCCGCTCGACCGGTGCCCTTGCTGCGATATATGTCTATCTAAATATGAGATGAAAACCTGCTCCTAGTCATTGATCTTACTATGTAATTATGAATATTATTGCCGTGTACACCTTGGCTTCAAATTAAGATAACAATGTTTACTAAGTCCTTGCGTCGCATTTGTGTGGTATTTTCGGGATGCGTTGATTGGTCCGAATACAAATGTGTCTGATTTCCTAAAACAGGGACAGGCGATATTGCGAAAAGATGAAAAGTTTCAAATTTCCGGTCTCGGTGCTTGTATATCTAAAGTTTTGTTAAGGAAGCAATATTTAATCTTCCCAAGTTTGCTGTTTGTCAACGCCCTTTCACAATATTTTGTGGGCGAAAATCTGTCTCTTCCTTCGTTCTACCCAGAAAAACTAATGCATGCACAATGACTCGAAAATTTTCCACTTTTCTAAAAAAGTAACCCCACTGCTCGCATTTACACTCTGTGAATGTTGTTTAGATTTACGCATTTCGATGTATACTTTGGTACATTGATTACACCAGATGGATTTGAGGCCAAACTGTACGCTCATGATAGAATAAATATATCATTCAGCACAACGGAATGTATACCTAAATCTACTGCATTTGGCATTTTGGCTGTATTTTCCAGCATCGATCACTTTTCTAAATCCGTGCAAATCATGAAAACTTAGTTAGTACGTTTAAATTAAGCCCTTCTCCGTAAATACAGTCATCTGGTCCTGTTGCGTCGTTTTAATGAAAACTCCGGATCGTTAATTTAGTTACCCGTCGGCCATCAGCACAGCGACATTTAAACACGAACTGATATCTACGTCGAGAGAGAGAGAGCTCAGTTGACAGTCTCCGGTCGGTGTATATGTGCGGCAGTGCAGTAGCCTTCGAGGCAGCGGTAGGGTGAGGGGTTCGCAACTAACTTCAGATAACCTCTGGACCGCGTCCGACGTTGAATGGTGGTTGAGGGGATCTCACGGGTGGGGCAACATACAGGACGGAGAGCGATCAGACACAGAAAGTAGATGAATTTCTGTCGAAAATGTTATCGCACGCTAAAATTCGGCAAAGAAGGTGAGTGAGACAATTAAAAAAATAAACAAAAAGCAATTTTTAAACAGATAAAGGACTTTGAATAGAACGCTGCTGGTAAGTTTACACTTGGTCAGAAAGGGAAGGAAATTTCAAACAGTGGGAGCGGTGAATAGCAAGTGATGTTTAGAGTCGCACTGAATCTTAGGGCATATTTTTGTAGTTCCCATCTACTTGTTGGCTCAACATCCTATCGCTACCGCCTTCGATGCCATCAAACGAAGCAAATAAGTAAAGGAGCAGGAATGAAAGACAGAGTATGTAAAACATGAATATACGCGGGCTGGAAGAAATGTAGCTTTATCTTCCAAGACCTATGTGTGCCTAGTTCTTAACTTACGCAGAACAAAAAGACCAGACCAAAACAAAAACACCGCGCTACAAAGAGCACGCCCTTGTGTTGTTTTTTTGTTGTCATTTTAAATGACGGAGTTTGTTCTTTTAAGAGACCTAGTGTATTGTGTACGTGCGGCCAACTCAATGCCGGCGATGCCGTTAGTTGGGCGAATACTTTAACCGGAATATATAACCATTAACGATAAGAGCAATTTAAAATTAAATGTTTGACTTTAGGGAGTCCTATTGCGTTTAACCCTCTGAAAGTGATAAACCCCGAAATTTAACCACCGGATCAAAATCCATCAGTCCTTTTAACACCATCTTACTAAGATGGAAGCTCACTGGCACGCTACTCATTTGGAACCAACGGTGTTTACGTCACCCATTTTAAAAGGTACGAGCAGATACACTTTAAATTAATCATTGAGATTCGTTATTCTTGCAAAGAGGAAGAAAGCGCTTTATGGGGATTTTTACATTTACTTAGGACTAAAATCTAGGCAGTTAGGTGACTCTGATTATCCATGTTTTAAACCCCCTCCCCTTCCATCTCCTTCAGACAAAGAGGAGATAAATAATGATGAAGGTATGAATCGCTGGCTGCACGAACAAGCGGGATCCTTGTTGATCTCTAATCAACGCAGTCCGGGGCAACACCGTAACTGCTGCGCAGCTGGTCATGGTCAAAACGATAACCTCTACGACAATCACGACCGAAATTCCGAGGAGGACTTTCCAAGCCCGAAACGCGCGGTTAATGCAAACAGGTGGGCAAACTAAAATCTTCAGCATACACTGTGTGTTCGGTGCCCATATCCCAAAGATTCAGTAAGCCACTAGACACGGCAACCTTAGATTACAAATTTAGAAATAAATGTGGGTATGTTTTTTTCCCTGAAATAAACAATCACGCAAATGTAAAATACCGCTAACCCCAACAGGCCTAAGTACAGAAAGGACCGAAAAATAGCCTTCTTTTCACGAAGTGTATTCATACAAAGCTTTATGAGAAATAATTAGGTATAAAACAATACAAATGACAGCTGATTGCACATCTAAGCAACTCGTTACGATAAAAGGACAGAAACAATCAGCAAAGTTTGGGTGATTTAATGCCATTGCACATCTCATTTATGAAATCGTGTTATAGAGAAGGGGGCTTGTAAGTATGGATTTCTAGAAATTTGATTAGCACATTTAAAGGCACACTGGACTGCTGCGGAAATCCTGATCATTTTGCGCTGGAACGGACTTAGAAGAGAGCTCTACCCAAAATATACGCAAAACAGATGGTCAATTCTTACTACATCATCTTACTGTTATATGAGGGATGATGGCCATACATCATAACCGAAGTGAAGTTGATTTGCGGAGCTGACTTTGATAGTTTGTTTAAAAATTCCACCGATGCCCTTCTTACGCAGGGTGTTGTATAAATAGTAGGTGTCGAGCCGATGATAAAGACTTGCGTTCACAGGAGTTTCTAAATAACTGGAATTAAGTATACTGAGAAGTACGCTGGATTTCCATTAAGAAGGGCTCCACAGCATCGATATGAGTTTCTCCACCCTCTCTTATACAGCACTGATCAGTTCGATAGCTCTAACAGACTGATTGTGCCGTTGGATCCGGTGGCCGAAGTGACGCGCATTTCCATCTTACGATAGTTCGACCGTCATTGCCGAAGATGTTCACAGTGTGCTCTACAGCTAAGTGAGAGCAGGCACGAAGACGTTCGCGCAAATTAGTTTAAAGTAAATGTAAACTTGCACAGCCCCCATCGCACTCTCTCCTCCTCCCCCACCTGGACCCGGTGTCAAGACACAGTGAAGAAGACCGGAGACGGGGGAGCGCGGTCGAACCCTTACATTGGTGCTCCACTCCATGCCCCCTTGTTCCAGGATTTTGACCAGCAACAGCAACAATGGGGAGCACCGCAGGGGTCCCAATGTGCGCAACGTACGCCGGCAACTGGGTCCGCAGTCGCACCCCGAGATGTTGACATTTGTTATGGGGTGCAATCCGATAACTCATAATAGGATCCAATATGGCTTCCGTGTTGGTTCAGCGCATTTACCCGTTTGGGGGGACGCAACGTGCGTCACACGCATTTATAACAATATCTACAGACTTTGCAAACAAAGGGACTCAGCGGAGGTGGAGCTCGTCTGTGTGGCCCACTGCACTTCCACCAGGATGAAGCGACTTCTCCAATCAGGTCTTGCAGAAGTCGGTAATAGACTGAGTTATTTTCTTCGTTCGGGGATTTTAGTCGTAGTCAACGCATCTGGTATTCACTGAAACCCATTACTTAGCAGGCCCCATAGCTTCCAATTTGAAAAGGAAGTTCCGCGAAAGCCGTCTTAAGTAAATCTTTGGCGGGATTTCAAACACTTAGAGTGAGTTTATATGTAGAAATATGTTATAAAACTGGCATGACCACTCTGTTGCTCTTAAACAGATTGAAAAAAACATCAATAGGGAGGCGTGTTCTAAGATATCAAGACATCATGCGAGGTTATCAACAACTAACTGTCCAACGTCAAAGCACTTGCCAGTTAATTAACATCGGCTTTCGGAAACCGCAGGGTTCGCACGCATTTTTTCGTGTGCACGATCTAGATCGCCACTGCCTCAAACCCACTAAAGCTATAACCCGACAGCTCGATCGTCGCGAGCGACGATAACAGGGAGAGGACAGGGATGATGACTTGCTGTGAACTAGTTTCTAGTGGTAGGAGACTTACGCAGCATCTACCCCACTCCCTCTTCCTCTCCTACCTGGACGTGGTGTTAAAACAGGGTCAAGAAGACCAGAGGTGGGAGAGGACGCAGGTGGCTGGCACGGAGATTACCCGCACATAGGCGTACCGCCACACGTGCTGGTCCACAACATTTGCTGACCAGGATTTTACATAACAAGAAAAAAGTGGGGAGTGGCACGGCTTAGCTTGCACTTGGACGTAGAATTCAACCCCAATGTTGGCTGCGCATTTCCGATAACGGCTACTGGATTCCGATCTAGCTCCCGTATGGAAGTCGTACTCGACGAAGTACACCCCTGCCCCTCGTGACAATTACGGCCGTGAATTGTGCCGGAGAGATAGGGGCGCTGCATTCACACCGTTCTTACAATCCTCGACCTTGGAAATAAGACAGATAAAGGCAGAATTTTGAGTTCCAGGTGTATGCATAAGTACAAAAGAACAGGGTTCGAGCACCGGAACATTTTGTTTATTGTCCTGAACTTTCGAACTCGAGTAGGAGCCCATCGTCAAAAACAGGTGCAAAAACAGAACAACCGACAGTTATAGGGCGTGTTAATTAATCATTGATCGATGGCGCAAGACTGGAGGCACCTGCGCACGGTTCTGTACGCCGGCGTCAGATCGATAAATCGCTCGAGCGAGTCCTCAACTGAGGCCAAAACCTCAACCATTCATCGGCCTGTTTTGTTTCCGCGTGGGCGATTATCTTGGCGGCTGTGAGATTAAATGCATGGCCAATTTCGTAGGTGTGGGCGGCCACTCGTAATAATGCGTTACCTAGTCGCCCAACCAGCTTATGTTTGTGTATGTGTGGAGGAGTGGGACGACTTGGATCTAAGTTGGCGCGGCTTGAGCCTCCACTTGGACGTAGCACCCAACCCCAATATTGGCACTTTTTGTGGCTGCGCATTTCCGATAACGGCTAACGGATTCCGATCTAACTCCCGTATGGGTCCAGCGCACCTATCGCATGGCCCATCTTAGGGACCGGACGGTTGTAACCCAGATGCTAAGTAAGGATATAAGTGGACGGATCTGGTTCAAAAATACAGAAAACCGACTCGCAAGCTGACCTTTCAAGCAGCTACCGTAAATTTTCTAGACATTTCACATTCTGCCGACACCCTTTCAATTTCCTTGTAGCAGTCGCCTCTAGAAATGCCTTATACATGCTTGTTTAGGGCATTTAAAACATGTGAGGCCCCTTCTGACTTTGATTAAACCACTTCCTTTTAAACCTTCCTAGGGAAATTTCTGCCTCTACCTCGATCCAGAGCAGAAGCAGTGCCGTCTCGTCGGCTGGCGCTTTGCTTCTAGGACGTCATGTTCTGGCGCCACGCAGAGATGAAGACGGACGTCTCTACCTTGCAGTCGTCAAAACGCAGGTTGGTCCGCTGTCATCATGCATCCAGTACCAGCTTTCATGCGGGAACAAAGTCGTGAAGCCGGCTTTGAATGGTCATTAGCTCAAGTGCCTTTATTGGGAGCCTACATAGCCACTGGCGAAAAATTCGGACACAGTGTCTCGTCTAAAATAGTCGTACTAATCCTCTGAGAAAGTAGATGTTCATGCAGATCATAGTTTAAAAAAGTGCGTCTATAACCGGACTGCTTAGTCTACGCGCAAACATTGCTTATCAAGACAGCTAAATTGGCGGATTTGAAATTCATTTTCTTAAAGTCTCGGACTCGCGTCAGATTCTTGCATTATTTTTCAGCTGCTTTGGAGGACTTTCTAAAAGTCCACATATCTAGAGCTCCACGTATTTCCCCTATTATGAAAAATGGTGTCGAAAAGGATCTATAATGACGAGTTATTGTAGAAACCAGATCACAACGCCAGTCTTTTGCTTTGGGTTAAATAGACTAGTCGCTCTCCCAAATGAGCAAGGATGATGAGGCGTCGAATAGCTTACGCGCAATGTAAAGGTGCTGACAGCCTCTGCAGGAAATACATAAATTGAAGGCCCTCGCGAAATGCTCGAAGGCCAATTATAAGTTACGGTCTGGCGCCAGAATCTTAATCTGCGTTCCAAAGAGTCAGCTCATGAGTGGGAACTGAGAATATGTCATGGGATAGCACTAATTTTAAATCTTGTACAAGTAGGTGGTATATGAGAGACGAGATCACCTCAGAAAGTCAGAAAAAGCGAAGTGCATTTTTTTAAAATATATCTCCACTCACTTAGCGCAACTAGGTCAGGAGGAAGTCAGAAATGAATGTTTAAAAGTATTCCTGACAGGACAGTGACTTGTTTGCCGTCATTACCTAGCAGCAGCTTTAAACGGCCGTGTCGGCTACGAAAGGAAATATTTAAGTACCTAAAAAGCCACTTAATAAGTCGCCCTAATAGTAAAAAACACCATGATAATGTTTTTGAATAAGGCAAAGGCGACAAAAAATTCAATATTTACTGACGTCATAAATTTCGAGTCCTCCCATTCAGCGGCGTACGGTCATTGCATAGTTATATGACAAGGCAAACTGTTCAATCAACGATCGACCTAGAAAGATAAAACTTGATAGGTAACCTGAAATGTGGGTCTAGTATGAGGGTGCATATGGCAAGGGGGGGAGGGGGAGACAAGTCAGTGAGAACTTGTCCGGCGTGATTTAGAGTGCAACGCGCGGGCGGCATCCAGTCATGCCGAGGAGGGGGTGGGGGCGAAACGAGAGGGCGCATATGGGAACCGGGTTTCGTCCATAATCGATCCTTACCATGGTAGTGCCAGGTTTATCACTTGGTCCGACTGCTTACAGAGTTCTGGTTTCCTCCTCCGTATTGCAGCGGCCTCTGCAAAGCGCAAGAGACGCCCGGTCGTCGCCCGAAACAGGATCTTGAATGCAACCATTGGGTCCACCGTATGGCCCGTGTCTACTAGGTGCTTTGTGATTGAGCTCTTGGGTACCTTATTTTCCGCCTTATGCAGCCACTTCGGCAGGTGTTCAGTTGGCCGAGCTGTCAACTGCCTTTGCGTGCGTCCAATGTACTTGCATCCGCAACTACATGTAAACTTATAAATACAATTTGATGTGGCGTGCATAGGCAAAGTGTCTTTAGCTGGTCTAACTGGGATGGTCATTGTGGTGCTTATGAACAACAATTTAGAGGCGCATACGTCCTTTCGATTGTGCACCGGAGTCGTCGTTTGATTACGTTCGACACGTTATCACCCTTGAAGGGGAGGCGGATGGTCACTGACTTTTTTGGTACAGATATTTCTTCAGGATTTTCTTGTCTGGGATGGTGATATTTATCGATGAATTTCTCCGCATACCCGTTTGCAAGACAAACGTTCTTCAAGAAAGTAAACTCGTCATCGATCTTATCTGAGAAGCAGATACTGCCGGAGTCGGAACTAGAGCCGCGGGTCCTTCTGCTTACAGAAGAGTTGCGGATCTCGACAGTAAATAATCCAGCGAATAATTTCAGAAATTACTCAGTGCAGGACATGGAGCTAAGTCTCCGGCACATGACTTTTTGGGGTAAGAGCCGAAATTTCAATGAACTTTCGAGTCGAAGGCAATAAACTACTGTGAAATAACCACGAAATGCCCATTCTACAAATAAGCTGTACTACAAGTAGTATGAAATCCATATGTCAAAGTTAAAGTAAGTGGGCTAACTCATGAAATCTCAACAGAAATTCTGAAATGCGTTTCCATTTCGAAAAAATTAATTTAGTGGGGTTGTAAAAACAATCATCGTGCAACATAATTCTATAATAATTTAGTTACTCCAGAACTCCGGCTTCCGAGAAAACGTCTTTCCAGCTGCATCGAAAAACCATTTTCTGTAAAAAATGACTACTTATGTCGCATGAATTTTTCTCATTGATTATCGATCCTCCTAAATGTCCAATTATATTTCATGGAAAGCATGCATAAAATATTCATTCCCTCGCTCATTCGGTAGAAAATTACGTCTTCTTCCAATTGTGTACTCGAAGGAAGGGTATTATTCAGTTTTCAAAAACTGTTCCAATTCCCGGATAATTTTGAACCCGACCTGCCGTTACACTAGCATTCAGGGTTTCCAAACTACAAGCCGTCTTTTTTCTGCTGTATTAAGAGGTGACCATATGGGGTTCATAAAATTGAGCAGTGGAGCTAAACCACATTGTTACCTTTACAAGCAACATTGGTAAATGCAGAGACATGACGTTTTATGGACGGCCATTTCACGACATTAAAAAATCCCACAATCACAAACTTTTTAAAACCGAATTATGCCCTTCCTTCAAATATAAAATTGAAAGAAGACGTAATTTTCCACTGAATGAGCAAAAGAATGAAAATTTTATACATGCTTTCCATGAAAGGGCATCGAAAACCAATGAGAAAAATGCATGCTACATGAGTAGTCATTTTTTACAGAGTATGGTTTTTCGATGCAGCCAGAAAGACGTTTTCTCGAAAGCCGGAGTCCTGGGGTAACTAAATTATTATAGAATTATGCTGCACGATGATTTTTTTACAACCCTACTTTATTAATCTTTTCGAAACGAAAACGCATTTCAGAATTTCTGTTGAGATTACATGAGTTAGTCCACTTGCCATAAGCCCAGGCACGTGTTTCGATGATATTCTGCCGCTGCACGACACAGCCGCGAGGGGTTCGGATCCTCAGCGGGTCCTCCAGCGTCCTTTATGCGGTTTCTGGTATATGAACTCCAGAGGAACACGTGTCTGGGCTTATAACTAGTGCCTTTGTCGGGGGTACGACATAATACCTTTGTCATAAGTAGATAATCCGCCAGTAGTCTTTTCAGTTTCTCTTGCTTGACCAATAGCTCTTCTTATTTTTCGACTGTTCGCTGGAATACGATCATCTCAAAGCGTAAAACAAGGCATTATACATGTCTTATCCCGCCCATCACAACCTACTGGCGAACCTCGCCTCTGTGTAAGCAGTTTTCGCCGCCTGGGCATAGTCAGTAATGAGGTGAGATTATTTTCTGAACGATGTGGAAAACCAAACTTGCTCGGAACTTCCATTCAAATGTTCTTCTGCAAGCTGACAATTCAGTGAACATTCAAAAACTTTGAAAAGATTTTAAATTTTAAATCTGCAACCTTTCTCATTTCCAGCTTACGTTATGCTGAGGACGCAGAGTTGTCGCCATGTGTTTGGGATTAAAGGACTTATCTGTGAAACAGGCGAACGATTCGTAGGGGACGGAAATGTTGGTCCCCCTCGCTACAGATGGTTTTGCGTTGAATTCTATCGAGGTCGGAGTCACGGTTGAAGCTAGGACACAGGTGTAGGTACAACCCCTGCAATCTATCGCAAGGTCAACTGCGGTATGGGGATCCTTATTCTCGTGTCAAATCGATAAATCTTTAAAGGTTGAGAAGCGTTACTTACAAAGACGGGCGAGACTGGAAGGGCCATTTCTGGCCTAATTGTCGTCATCTGCCAGCTATACTTTAATCCCTGTCCTACGTTTGGGATTCAAAACCAAATTAGCCTGTAATCAAGCACTTTCAAGTCAAACTCTCTTCCGTTTTAGTTATGTGCTCTCTTCCTCTTGGTTGTGAGCTTGAATACCCAAAAGCACATGTGATTGGCACTGACTGCTTTACTCTGATTAGAGATTGGAAGTGCTACCTCCTGTTCGACCTTCAAGGCAGTAGTTTAAAGTCCTCTCAGACACAAGGCCGCATAATTGTTAATAGTGGAAGGTTTATTCGCGATGTGCATGTCACAGAACCCAGCAAACATTAGACATGTATTCGTCAGGTGGTCTGCTGAAAGCAAACGAGTGCAGCAAAACGATCTAAGACGAAATATCACATCGCTTTGAAAGCAAGTTTTCGATAAAACAGATTTTTCCAATAAACGAATATATAAAAGACCTATTTCTAGGTCTTTCGTACAAGCAGCCTGTTGCTGACATATAATTGTCTTATGACATTAAAAATATATGAACAGCATACGAGTTTGGTTCAGTCCTATTGACATTACCGTGGGATCGGGAAATAGGTATGGCTCGTTGGAACAGATTCATTGTACTGTTGGCACTTCGGGGATAGTGGAAGGTTATCCGTGTTCAACAAAGTTAAATGCATGAAATCGACCAGACATTCGAAAGAATTGCTGCGCTATTAGGACTAAAACACGTTTACTTCGTACTCTTTCGCTGGGCATGAGAAAATTCCTGCGTTGCTTCTCATTATTCCAAAAAGCTGGGACTGTTAAAAAGGAAATAGTCTATCTGTCCATGATCCATCAGCACAACAAGTAATTTGAAGTTTTAGTTTATCTTGTAAGGAAAATGCCTTGACGATAAGGAGCCGCCCAATCCCCACGGGACTTCGGCAACACAATAAATTAGTTCCAGCAATCCCGTCCTCCTAAAACATTTATCCTGAAGCTCTCGATTTTGCCATCTTAATCTCCATGAGTGGTAGAAACGATGTTTGTTTGGCCTAATTGAGTGTAGATTTTTTTAATGTCTGCTATTGCGCTTCGGCGTTTACTGTGACAGTCGATTTGAAAAACCGGTGTGATTTTAAAATGGAGACACGATTTTTCTGCTCCGGCGAACTAAAAATATCAGTGACCTACACACTGCTGCGTACTCGCGGCCTTAATAAACGACAGGATTTTATTTTGAAAAACGTTCGTCGGTAGCTGGTGAGAGTTCCTTTTAGGTGAGTTATGCCGCGTCAAAAGAGCAGTACAGGCGCGGAGAAGACGATGCCGTATTTGGAAAAAAATTTATTTGCCATGTTCCAGATTTCGTGCCATTTTCTTGACTGCTTTCTGGGACACCGCCTTGTCGCTTCTATCGGAAGAGCAGTCCGACCTGAAGCGGGACGAACCATTTAAAAAAATCGATAAAGCACCTGGTGATAGGTCTTTTTGTTGTCGTACCTGGAAATGATGTGCAATTAAGTTAATATACTAATCAACGATAAACTCCAAGTTCACATAGCGGTAGCGGCCACCGGCTGCCCAGCGGGAATTAGTTCTGCTTTAACTAAGAGTCCCGGTCTAGAGGCATTCTAAGTGATCGTGCACTGACGAACAATCAACAATGAATAAGCGTTATTAGAAAAACGGCGTAAGTCCAGAGTATCCAAAGGTCCAAAGCGGGCTTCAAGACTGGATAACTCCCAAGTAAGGAGATGGGAATGGCGTTTTGCGCTAAACCAGGAGTTAGTCGCTAAAAAGTATTTTCTTTTGAGACTGGCAGCTAGTTACTGCAGCGTGCGTTTGGAGTGTCGCATATCCTGGTAACCGTTATCCTTCTAACCTATATAAACTTGCTGACTTTCATGCGCAACTCCTTTTGCGCATGAATAACCCGACTTTACTTCATATGTTGTCATGGTAACAACTCAGGCCTTGTTTAAAAGATGAATTGCCATTTCTGAGTGCGATTGTTTGAGGAGAAACAAATGTCATAGCAAGTTATTCCGATACATTTGTTTAAAATGTTTTTCTGCGACACCGGTGCACTGTGGAGTAAGAGAGGGATAGAAAAGCTTCACTCGGGCTTCCTTCCTACTTGGTCCACCCAGACATTCCGAAATATTTCCATCTGCCATTAAGATATGGAGATTTTAACAAGCGAAACTGAAAAGGCGTCAAATAAAACATTTGGAGGACAAAGTTCCTGCCTTAAATCATACTGACATATCCAGTACTATAAACAGAAACGAAAAAGCGAGCTCCTTACCCATGTTAGGAATTGCGAAAGTTGGCGAAAAATGGAAATAGGATGGCCAGTGTACCCATCGAAGTGCCGATCAACTCGGCTGCATTGAATGAATGCCAGAATGTCCAAAACACCAGCGTAACCCAGTTAAAAGTTAATTAAAATAGACATTTTTGTCCTATCACACAAAATAAAAAAGCCCTAAACAAATTATGACATAAAACTGCTTTCAGCTATACTGTTTACAAGGTTTGTTTGCAAAAAAGAATCCTATGTCTTGAAAAACTGATTTGGAAGGACATGAAGGAACGAAATAGACAGTGCGTAGGCAATATAGGAGTCTTTATTTGGAATGGTTTTGGAAAAATTTGCGTTTCGGCGAGGTGACATTATGTTGCGCCCAGGAACTTATGAGGAATCCGTGTGAAATTGTCCTATTTAGTGGTAGTATGGAAAGACTATAAATTGCCCTGCACAAATACATTTAGACGTGTGTTTAAAGTCGATTTCCCAGTAAGACCTTTTGAAAAGACAATGGTTTGCACTTCAGATGTTAGCCCCTTTGACGGCAATTTTCTAAAAAACACTGCCCGGCAGATAATAGAAACGAAAGAGCGAGTTCGAGAAAAATCGTCGCGAAGGAAAAAAATCGAACGCTGGAAAATAAATTAATCAGCCTGAACTTTCGGATTCTCACTCGAATCCATCTTCAGAGACAGTCAGGAAATGGTGGTGGATTGCCCATGTGTTGCTGTATTTATGGGCTGTAGTCGCTAGGCCGCTACATACTTATCATAAATGGCAACTCCCAAGTGCATCATGGCTCGATTGGCCAGGCGTTGAAGTATGCAGTTTCCATGCGGTTGTTATGCGCCTATGTGCCGGTCAAGATAACCAGTTCCCATGCTCGTCGCACGCAAGTGAGTTGCTGACTTCCGGATTTCCTCATCCGTGTCGACTCCTGGGGCAGTTTGACTCTCAGAAATTGACACCAGAGCCTCTGGTTATCTGCACGCTCTCTTCGCTGCTAACTGTTTTGCGTAAGCAAACTTCGGACACGAACGGCCGAGCACGCAGCAGCAATGAGGAGGAACGACCTCAACTCCAAGTCGCGGCCCATTCAACGGGATCCAATCACACATTTATGTTCGACGAAGCAGGACTTCTTGCTAAAGATGAAAACTGCGTGATTCGCGAACTACTCGAGTCAAGGTTGTCCGGTCCTCACAACAAGAGCAATGACCTCCCCTCTCCATATTCGGCGCTGAGACTTTGCTCACGCAAAACAGTTAGCCTCGAGGAGAGCGTACAGATAACCTCTGTCTCTGGTGCCAATGTCTGCGAGCCAAATTGTCCAGGAATCCACACTGATGGCGAAATCCGGCAGCCAACAACTTGACTGAATGCGACGAGCAGGGAACGTGGTCAATCCATTACCCTTTCCTGATCCTTTCTCTGATGATGGATTCGAGTAAGAATCCAAAATGTGAGGTTATTAAGGCTTTTGTTCCAGCCATCTTGCCGCATTCTTCACAGCTAAGAAGTTTCTCTGTGAATTGTTTCCACGTTAAGATACCGCCAATGAAATAAGAACTCCCTAGCGACTCAGAAAGTCTCGTTTAACACAAATCTCAGCCTTACAGTTACGATGGTAATAGAGCCCACCCAACTTGGTATTTGCAACTGCGGAACAAACCTAATAAGCCGTAGATAAATGTCACTGTGGATCATTTTCTGCAAGTGTAATTAAGCCGATTAGGCACAGGACTATGGAGTCCTTCATTGTACAGGGTTGCCTTGCCCTAAATTCTAGAATTAGGACTATGTGCCGTCTACCTTGGCTTCTTTGCAAGACGGAGACGATTCGCTGGACGAATTAAAAATAGGACCCTGTTTAACTTCCGAGGAACTTACTGCGCGAATTCGGAGTAAATCCTTCGGGACAGACCTTTTCAGGCATGATTCCAAATTTAATATGCATATATGAGTTGAAATCCATCAGCTACTGTGGAATAACCGCGTAATATTCACAAACCGCCAACAGGCAGCTAGTAGGATAGAATTTTGTAGTTATTTACCGTCCTGTTGTCAGTACGGTAAATAATTTCATAATTCCATAACCAGAGTCTCAAAATTTCATTTAGATTCATCCTGAAAGTCGAGGGTAGTAACATTCGTATTCCGTTGTCTATCTTTCCCATCTAACACACCCACTTTCAACTGTGTTATCGTAGACGCTCTGGAGGAGACACTTACACTTTTAAATAGAGTAAACTGGGGCATCTTTCGTGAGGGAGTTGGCTGCTGGGGATTAGGAAAAAGAAAAGTGCGATCTGAACTTGCAGCAATTAAGCGGGGAGAGTTTTCACTTGGATCGCTACAATCATCAGGCCAAAACCCATATTGGAAGGAAGGACAGAAGGCGCCAGAATGAGGGGTTTATTGTATACGGAACCCCGAAGTGTCCTCTGAGGTGACAGTGGCCACTGGCGAAGCCAGGACTAGTGTTGGCTGCATCCAGTGATGTCTGAGAGTTCCTGGGACAGTGGTGGCAGCCGCTTTTGTTGACTCTCAAGTGGTCTCCAATCGGTGTGTGTTGCACTGGCAACGGTATAGGGAAGGACCCACCTTAACTGTTATTAGCCAGTGGATCGTGTCATATAGGGCTTATCTTGGGATATATTTGCAGGCTGTAGCAGAAATTACGCTGCCAACAACGATTTCTTCCCAGGACCTCAAACCTTAACTAAAAATCGGTTATTTTGTGGAATTTACTTTTCGTTTATTGTTTACTTACAACTCCCATTTCCGTTGTCCTACAATAGTGCAGAATAAGACTTTCAGCATAAATCCAAGCATTTTCTGTTTTTTATTTGATTTTGTCAGCGTACTGTCTAGCGTGCTGCCCCACACATCAGACTTCCTTTACCATAAATCACATACTGCATGATCCACCGTCTACTAACAGTTAATTGGGGTCCTTCTCTGTACCGTTGTCGTTGCATTTGCCGAGGGGTGGTGTCTCAGTGTCTTAGGTTGTGATTTCAGGGGGAGAGTTACGATAAAATAGCCGCGTGTGCAGGTGTGACCGTGTGGACTCAGGTATGTCCGAGACGACGTCCGTCGAGTGGCTTCAGGTCAGTACGTCTACAACGGCTCATTGTAGTGGGGGAATGACCTTGAGACACTGACGTCAGACTGGCCATGATGGTTGCCCGCAACAAACTTGTTTCCGAACAAAACACTTTCAGGCAGTTTTCCTGCGTTACCATATTCTACCCCAGCGGGTGTTCTGGCGTCTATGAAAGGCTTGAAAAGGTTTGCGCCTCTGAGAGTTTTAAGCGACACTAACAGTTTGACTGAGGGTAATCGCTTAAGCTGGCGTGCACAAACGCACTGATTCTTGATGTGCCCACTTTAGTTAACTTTCCAGTCCAGTCCCATTCGTGACCTCGGCTTCTTGGATCAAACTCTCAAATGGAAAAGAGACTGGGCCGCGAAGTTTAATGGTTTTTTTTCAATAGACTCCTCGCAATTGGGGCGTGGCTCGACTGCAGGCATCTCGTTGCTGTGGTTACCAACACGCGGACAGGTCGACGCCAAAAGTGCTGGACGGGCGGCCTTTAAGGTCCCCGCCGTCAACCTCAAGGAATTGCTGGACGCTATGGAGATCGGAAGTGCTAAGAGTACAATAGGTGGCATTTTGTTTCCACATTGGTTTACGCATAGACAAAGGACATTTCCTTGAAATTTATCAAAAAGGGGAAAATGTTAAAGGCCACAACGGGCGGAAGAGCTTGTAGGCAGGGCTGCCTGGAGACTCTGGAAATTGGACTTACGATTAAAATTTTCAAATTTATGACAAAAATTTTATAACATACCACTGGAACTTAAAAAGCTTGTGCGGCCTAAACAGACTCAGTCTGGGAAGCAGACATTTTCGTTTTTTCGAGGATTACTGTTTTCGGATGAGCAGCTTTATACGGCTTGTTTTTTGCTAAGCAAGTGGTTAAGTCATATAATCACCAAGTTAGTGCTTATTAATATTAGGTCAATGTTTTTCAGAAACCGATGGAAAACAGCTCTCATATTCATGGCAGTCTTCGAACTGAACATTTAAAGGCCTATTCTGGGGACGATACTCCAAGCTCACACAATAATTCCTGACGGGATTAAAAACCTTACAATTTAGTGAACTTTAAGTTACGTGTGCATTCTGCGAGTCTTTTGATGAGCTTATTTTTGGGGCGACATTTGGAACCTTTTAAAACCGAATACCTTTCCTTCAAACATAAAATTTGGAGAAGACGTAATTTTCTACCTAATGAGTAAAAGGACTAATTTTTGTGCTTGTTTTTATGAAGTATATTTGAATTTATAAGAAAATCGAAAATCGAGGAGAAAAAATCATGTTATTTAAGTAGTCATTTTACAGAGTGCAGTTTTCACAGGCGACCAGAAAGAAGTTTATTTAAAAGCCGGCATCCTGAAGGTTCTGAATTATTATGGGGTTATGTTGCATGCGGATTTTACAACCCTTCTTAAGTATCCTTTCCGATTCGAAAACACATTGCACAATTTTGGTCAAAATTTCCTGAGTTAGCACATCTACTGTAAGTTCTAGTATTTAAGCCCCTTAGTAAAGTTCACCTTTTGATCATCAGTTGGAGAAAATCCCGAAAATATGAGGATGTTTGACAAGAACTCACTGCAACGCAAACACTTTTTACAGTCATCTAGTGTCATCTACGGCAAACGTTAGATTTTATTCGGGAAAAACGGCGACAGACTAGTGGTTTGCTGATATTACTAAACTCCCTAGACCTCCTAGAGCTGAATTATTATAGTGGTGGTCAGCAATTTGAAGTGTGGACTCAATAAAGGTTTGTGACTTTCGAGAGTTTAATTCTTGGAGGTGTCTTAAAGTGCAGATTTTTGAAATTGATTTTGTGGGCAGTATGTGGGGGGTGTGACTTTTTTGTGTACGTTTCTGCTCGAGGGTCCCGTGGCAAATTTAAGTACCGCTGGAGGAACACGCGCAGTTCAGGGTGACAACAATTACTCAGTTAACCTTGAGAGCTTATGGTAACAGAGTAAGAGATATCGATCGTTAGCAAATAAAGATACCATTTGTGTTCACGTACTAGGTTCAGAACGACGATGAGCCAAAGCTCATTCACGTAAATGTTAAATGCGTGAATGTCTTAAAAAGTATTCGGATCGAGGGGATGGAGCGAGTGAGCTGAGTGCGGTCAACAATTCCTACTTACCGAATCACAACAAAATGGCGAAAAATATTGTTATGCCTGTTTTCTTGAGTTCAAAGCTCTTTTATGACCTATAAGTCGGTTTGTTACAAGACATTGTGGGGCAGAGATGGCAAACAAAAACTGTTGTGTTTCGTAGAGCTATTCTATGGAAACCTCAGGGGTCGATGAATATCCGGTAAAAAAGCCGTCAGTCATTTTTAAGATAAACTTCCAACGACAGGATCGGTAAATGGAGAAAGACAAAGGATAGAATCGGTCTTTCATCTGCTAGGGGCTGCTTCGACTGCGTTACTCACCCGTTATTCTTGTTGCCTTATACACGAGATGCTCCCGTCACACAGTTCGGGAAAACGATTAGATCGTGTGAGACTAAAACCCCACCGCGTATACCTACTTATTTTAGCTAAGTAGCACCAACTTTATGTATACACTATTTTTCTTCCTACCAGACTCGTTAATCACATATTTTCCCCAGAATCCTCTTCAGGTAAATGATAAACCCGAAAAGGTGGAAAATCAACAAGTCATTGGACAGAATGTCCACTACGGCTGCATTGTAATACCGTTGAAGACCTGCGAATTAGCTGCCTGACATCTGTTTAGTGTTCATGTGGAGGCAATCATTCGTTGTATGAATTTACTAAGATCCAACCCCGTTCCCAGGGCAGACAGTGGGTGAGCTGAAATGGATGACTGAAGCCAGTTAGGCGGCGGTTGCACGATCAGGTTTTTTGGGTTTAAAGAATAAATCAGCAGAACCAAGGTGTGAAAGCTTTTAGGCCTGGGTGGTCCCTTCCAACTCGGTCATTTTCATTTAAACTGAAGGCAGGATCGCGAAGTTGATCGGTTATAATACTCAGCGTGGAGGGTTAGAGATAAGTTCCGAAATTCTTGCAGCGAGTACGCTGCCGTTTTCCTGAGTTTTAACTGGTAGAATTGTTTGGTATGCTTGAGAATTGTTGGCATTGTATTTGAAGACCATGCATTTCGTTTAGGGACCTCTTGAAATGAGCCAAAATGCGGTTGTTTCTTAATACAAACGCTTAAAAAGTTTCCGCTTTAAATTATTTGCTAATTCTAGAGGCCGGGCAAGCGCTTTGGAGTGGTATTTTGCCTTCCATTCGCCGAACATACGGACAGCCTCGATTACTGTCATCAGGAAGTCGGACTGGAGGATCTGCTCTCGTACTCTGACCTCTTTCGACATTCTCTGCGTCCTGGCGACAACGCCTTGACCCCGGCTATTCTTCTTCACCCCCATCGAATGGCCGGCCAGACTACAGCCTTGGAGCCCCCGTTTGCGGGAGAACCCTACGTTCTGACGCGAGTAGAAAGTGGCTACGAGCAGAGGTTTCGTAAGTGACATCAAGGTTTTGCCAACTTTGTTAGTTGTCCGCGTGTTTACTGCAATTTTCAATTTTCAAACTGACTCAGGAGGCTTTCATACCACGGGTCTCACCGGTCGCAAATAAACGTTTGGCTAATCGATGCCTACTTGTGTTCAATCCCTATATACAGTAGGTGGGCTAATACATGTAATGTCAACCAAAATTCCAAAATGCCTTTTCGTTTCGAAAAGATCAATTGAGTAGAGTTGTAAAACTAGTTAGCCTGCAACATAATTCTATAATAAATAAGTTACCGCAGGATGCCGGCTTTCAAACAAACTTCTTTACTGCTGCGAGCAGGAACTACACTCTGTAAAAAATGACTACTTAAGGAGCATGCATTTCTGTCATTGCCCGACATCGTCTACTAACTACACGCACCTGCCTTTTAGTGAAATAACTTTTTTTTAAAAAACCGCTTATCGGGAACTCAAGGAATTCTGCGTTAAACGAGGATGCTTAGAGATTGTTTCACTAAAATATTGTCTATTTTGCCACGAAGCATGCTTTCTATTCCACAGAAGTTCGTCATATTTCTTGCGTTATCTGCCTTTTAAAATGCATCTTTCCAGCGTCCCCAAAAGTTTCGTTCTTAACCAGATTTCACTTTGCAAGGCGGCGGAGGGATGCTCACTCACTATGCTTAACTCTCCGCTGATGTTATCCGCTGGTAGCCTGCTTAAGTCCAAACTGCAAATTAGAGCAACAGACACGACTTCGTCCTTAACTTAATCATGCTCGGCAATATCAACATGAGAGTATCTTGGAATCTTTACGATCTTCCTTCTGATTAGCAGAGAATTTAAAAGCTACGAACGGATCTGTACATTTACGTCGGTCGAACTGAGTACAGGGTCTCATCCGAGATTCCGGTTTTTGCTATTGGATCCTAGCAGTGTGCTATGCTGATATCCACATTTTGTGGGACAAATAATTTTGTATTCGAGAAATATGCAAAGACTATGTTCCACCCGAGCCCCACATATACGAAGACATCGAGAAGGGATTAGGTCAACTTCGATTTTCCTTTCAGTTTTTTTATTTCTTGCGGATATTTGCTGATTTCGGATAATTCTACTTCTCGTATTTTTTCTTAACCCCCACTCCATCTTGCATTGTCATTTCTCAAGACCCATTTAACTTCACCAACGACAGGTATTATGCCAGCTATGTTTCAAATGCTATATGTGGCCGAACACTTTGCGTCACAGAGGATTAATTGACCTTCATAAACGTGGTCTCATTTACTGCATCGTTTTTTAGCGGAACCTGCGCCAGACGACAGATGCTCCTCTCTTCTTGTGCAGGTCCTCACCGGAGGTCACAGTCGGGAGCGTCCGCGCTGCTGCGAGATTCCAGTCGGTTGTGCCCTCTGGATCCCGCCGAATAGGGCAGCAGCCCTGCGGGCAGAGGGAAGTCACTTCTACGGCAGCCCTAAGTTCCGGGATATCTCGCCTTACTATGAGGGAAAGGAGGCCCTATGCGTTCATGGCTCCCCAAAACGAAACCCTCTGCTGTCGAGAGAAAAATGTCAGTCGGCAGCAGCAATGCCTGGCAGCGATGGCGACGACAGCAGTCAGCCGGGCAGTGATCGTGAGGCGGAGGCCGGTTTTGAATCGCACACAATGCTCAAGTCCAAAAAGCGTTCGTTGAAGAGCGCAAACCCCCTCAACAAGTCCATGGACTGCGCCATCTTTAGGTCGGAGTCCATGTCGGCAGTCAATCGAAGAGGAAAGTCGCCGAGACGTCGACGGCATTTAGCAGGTTGCGATGAAAACAAAGTTACTCTTTCTTGAGCATGAAAACTATTAGTCTTGAAACAAATTATGATATTACGGCTATTTACACGAATTCTAAATTACTGAATCAGAAAACCATCAAGAAAAGTTCATTACATGACTAAACTTTATGGTTGATCAACTCTGTGAGGTCAGAAATATTTGACAACACCAAAATAATGAACGCTCAGATGTTTTTCGTAGGAGAGAATCTGGCTCCCAAAATGCCATTTCTATGTTTAAATAGGATAGACAGGAACAAAATATTCAATTTATCGTAGTGCGGATGGCAAAAGCTGCTCCCAAACGTATGACTTACCATTCTCCCATTACACTGACTTTGGCTGTTGACACTTTTGGGGGAGTTGGCGGAAACTCTAACTTGCACTTTCAAAATCATGCTTATTCACTCAAAAATCTGTTCGATTACCCCGGAGGATACATTCTTCCATGAAAAAGGAAGAGGGTCTTCAGAAAAAGTCGAGTTGTGTTCATGAATGTTTAAGTTGGTGACACCAACCCGTCGTCAGACGAAATGAAGATAAAAGGTAAAGTAAGACGGCCAGACTAGACTAGTTGACGCGACAGGACAGACATTAACAGGCGGACCAGAGAAGAGTGATTGACCGCTCTAAATTTGGTCTCATTTTGTATATCCTGTGACTGTCTCATTTTCTGTTTTATCTTCATTTCATATGATGACAGGTTGGTGTAACCAACTTTAAAATTCACGAGTAGAACTCGACTTTTTCCGAAGGATATCTTTCTTTTTCATCACATCGTCTCCGAATGCACACCACAACTGCCCTATAATATGCTTTTATGAATGAAATACTAACCGCTGGGGAGTGGACAATTATATTTTTGACCTTTTTTTACTCAGTCCCTCATCTTTGACAGTATTTCCCAAAATTACTGACAATCTGTCACTCTATGACGGCCTGTGGGCTCTGTTGGGGGTTCGGATATTGGAAAACGGACCTGTCCTTGTGAGGTAACCATCTCAGTCATCTGGTATTACAAAGTGAATTAACCTATTTGGTAAATGGTCAAAAGACTCAAAATTTTGAAGAAAAATCTTTTATCTGGGATTTGCTGGAACTTCTACTTCCAAGGTTCCAAACGCGGAAAGTAAAAAGGTAGGCTTTAGGAGAGATAATTACAGATTTCCGATTTATCTTCGAAGAAATTGGCGTCCTTTCAGACCAGGAAGGACTGCTATTCACCTTTTAGTTAACGACAGAGAGATCACTCGGGACAATCGCTACGAGACGAAACTTCCGATCTGATTACGAAAATCAGTAGTTAAATCAAGATTTCTTTCCATTTGATGCATCAACCGTCCGTGTTGGTCGAAAGATGTCAGGCGAACTAATTCGACTTGACAGTTCATTCTGCAGGATAAAAGTAGTTCTGCGTCACAAAGTTGGGGATAAAGGATCGAAATCTTGGGTGGGTTCAACAAGAGAACACCATGTTGGCGCCTTCGGGGGATAACTGAGGAGAATAGTCGGCAGGTTCCGAAGAGTAACTGTGTCTCTCTCGTTCTTGTTCCAGAGTTGTCCTGAATCTAAAGTTTAAACGATGTGGAGGGTGAGTCATTTTTCTTACTCTTGAAAAAATATAGAATTTGTTGGTGGCATTAAACCAGCACGAGTGTTTCTAAGCTACCGTTGCGGTCTTGTTCAGAGACCAAGGCATGCTGAGCTGGTAATTCAAACACCTTCCCAGAGAAAACTGCGCAATTAGATCGTAATCGTTAACATCCTTGCAAAACACGAAACTGCACTCCAGTTGGACTGTTTCGTAACCACCCCATCCTGTGAATTCCCCTAGTCTACCTACTAAATACCTTTTAAGTAAGAGTGTAAAAGTAGTGTTATTGATTCATCGTTCGGCCCTGATCCCTGCCACTAAATCGCTGATCTGGAGTCTAGAAGCATCATGCAATTCCCACTTCTTACTGATCTCCTATAGTGTTTACTCTTGTCACGATAATTAAATGCCATGCATTTGTGCTCACGAGGAGATCGGTCTTATCCTCGCATCCCCTTCCCATGCAAACGGTGAATTGTCTGAGCATTCGTGCCGATTACTAATGAGGTTAGAGGCAATTCTTGACGCTGGGCATGAACGGTTCCGTCGGTATTTGACGCAGGACCATATAGGCTCTGTTTATGACTCATTCGAACTTGGATCAGCTCCATAGACACATGCCATGAGCCAAAGTTGGTCCCTTTTGGTTCAGGACTTCGACTGGGATAGCAACAAGCCAGTCCATTCATTTTCCGTATCGAAATCAACGCGCCGGACACACCTGCCCGAAGATCCAGGCGTGAGACACCGGCCATATCATTGTGATCCGACGACTCCGTTAATACTACTGTTGGAGATCCCTGGTATGAAGAACAATAGGGTCACACAGTGTACCCTAACCTGTTTTCAAGTAGCAGAACAAGGAGTTGCACAATCCATCCCTTTTAGAAGCACTAGCCGGTAGTCGGAAATTTGATTCCTTTCAAGAGTTACTCAATAAAAGGAGTCTGTAGGCAAAAATTACTAGGAGACTACAGAAACCACTGATATCTGAACTCGTTTTCTTATTCCCAGGAATAAAGAAGCATTGCCGCTTCTCAATTTCCTTAGAACTTAACTGCCAACTTGGAGTAGATCAGTATATTTAAGGTCTAGGGCTCAGAACCAAGTTTTTAGGTATGAATATTTGGCCCGAAGTCCATCAGGCTTGCCGGCTTATGCAAACAACGGATCTCACGTCATAAATAAATGAAGGAACCAATTACAATACATGACTGCTATCTTAACTCGGCAAGATTTCAAAGCTCAGTTTCCACTTTCGTTTCCCGCAGGATGTGGTGGTAGCGTCAATGAGTTGGAAAATGCCTCCGACGTCTCATCCGTGCATGAGAAGCGTTCCCAGAGTTCCAGTCGGGTCTCCAGCAGCCGAGAGAAGAGCAAAAAGCCGCCTTGGAAATACTGGGGTCGGCGACAGATTCCTGACATCCTTGATCCGCCAGTCTTCGAGCCTTACCAGCCCATGATGACTTTCGGTCCCACGAGCCTAGTCAACAAGGACGGTAAGTGGTTCTTCTCTGAAGACCCAAAAACTTGAATCGCTGACGGCTGTCTTATCAGTGAACGTAGTAGATGTCGTGTGAGCTTAAACGCTCTTCCACTGGAACAGGTGACGAATCTTAGAGAAGCGGTAAGTAGAATTGGGATAACGCTTGCCCACCAATCAGCTCCAACCAATGGAAGTTTATCACAGAAGCCTAAGCCGAGAGTGAGACTGTGGCCATCACAACCTTCAGGCCGGTCCCGAATGGAAAGAGGCGGTGGACGCCAGTTTGAAGGATTTTATGGCAAGATACTCGTGGTCGTACCTGTAAGGGGTTGAGGTTAGGGGTTAGAGGTTGGGGTTAGGGGTTAATGTCAGGGGTTGGCGTTAGGGGCTAGGGTAAGAGGTAAGGGTTGAGAGTTAGGGGCTGGGGTTGGGGTTAGGCTGCGGCATGTCAACTGCAAGGAAATGGGATCCAAACGATTGTATATTCTGTGCAGAGTAACTGAAAAGTGGTTGGAGAGAGTTAACAGCCGAAAGATGGCACGTCCGGCGCCCGGAGGGTGGCGTCCCACGTGTCCGTCAGGGAATGCCTCAAGGTGTCTTAAGCCAGGACCCGTCTGACTCGGCCTTAAATTTGATTGGCTAATTGGAGAGCCGAGTGGGCGGACATCAGGCAGCCACTCAGGAGCGGCCCAGCGTTGAAACGGGCGCTCGGGGTAGGACCACTAAAAGTTCACCTGACTTCTTCGGTAGAATTTTACTCAGATAAGAAGTGTCTCAATGTGAAGAAACTTCTCTTAGCTAGACAATGTGCGCTTAGGTCCAGGCAGATTGTTTTTGAGGAAGTGGGCGGGACAGGGCAATTGAAGCAGCAAAATACAGAAGCTGAGATGGTTTGACAACATGACACCTTGACAACGCGCCTACTTTCGCACTACAGACTGGCAAACACAAAAAGTGGAAAAACAGTCCTGGCCCAACAAACACTTCACTCGGAGAGTGGTCCATCATCTTTCAGTAGTATTCTTAATTTCGATATTTCACCGGCTCCGGTCTGCGTCTTGCTTTGCAGCGTCCGGTGAATGGCCCTCAGCCCACTTTGTGAAGGTCAACCACAACCCGGAACTGCAGAGTGCGCAGAATGATTCCTCGCGAGTATATGCAGCCCTTCAGCAGATCCAGTCCCTTCCAAGCAAGCTAACTGATGGAGGGTAAGCGGAGGCCTTTTGACCCATCATTTGTCCAGATTTCACTTTTGAAGCAACTTGTTAAGAATGCACTGAAGCTTATTGGTCGAAGTCATTTTACCAACTTTCTATGGTACAGGACTGATTCGCGTGGAACACAGACACCAAAGTAAAATTGGCAAACATGTTTTCGGTAATTCAGCACTAAGTCGCTATGAATATGTGAGTCGTCGGCAGCGTTTATAAGCATCAGAAAAGGTTAATTACAGTCCTCCTTCCCACGCCGTTCGCACGAAGAAGCCGGCGTACTGTGGTCATTGGGGCTGGGGTAAGAGTGAGCGACGTTTGAATTATAGTGGACGGGCGTTCACCGATAAGGTTGCGGAACGTCCCATTGAGTCTTTGGGTTGGAGCTAGAACTCTCGCATGCATTCATTTAGCGACTAGTAGTATAAGTATATCTGTATGTAAGGCTGTGTTCCCAAAACGAGTCACACGGTAGATGTGCAAGACCAACACGGGGGCCATATCGGATTCTGGCAGAGGCTATCGGAATGTGCACCAAAACGAATGTCGACATTTCGGCAAGGGGGTGCGGTGGCAGACCCAGTTGCCGTCAGAGGTCGCGCACATTGGAACCCCCGCCTCCCATTTTTGTCGTTGGTTAAAATCCTGGTCATTTGCTGTTTGGAGCAGGAGTTATGAAGTAGAGCGCCAAGGTGCGGCCTAACCGTGCCATTCACCTGCGCCCTCTCCCTACTCGGGTCTTCTTGACTCTGTCTTGGCATCAGACGTAGATGGGGGAGAATGAGAGTTCGGTAGATACAGCGCAAGTCCACTATCACCATAAACCAATTCACGCGCAAATCACCGTGCCTGCTTCGCTGCCGCGGAGCACACGGTGGGTGTCGTCGGCACTGACGGTCAAACTGTCGTATGTTACGCATGCGGAGTTTGCGTTGCTGTCATTAGGCGGGTTGAAGCCGCGTGTGATCTCCGCCTGGAGCTGATGTGGGACACGGAAGACAGCGCACTTGCACCGACGTCCTCTGAAAACCAAGCACTGTATTCGTTAGCCAAATAACCACTACCTAGGCCGTTGCTAGCATCCGTTGGCATAGGCCTCTAGACTAGTCTGCTAGTACCCGAAACCACATTTGCCAAAATGACTTTTAAGCGTAACCTGAAATATTTGCAGAATACTTAAGGTACCTCAAATGTGATAGAGGGCTTCCCTTCGACTACCCATCTCTTCAACCACCTCAGTGAAGTCGTGTTTGGACAAAAATACTACTAATTTTTATCCTCTTGGTTTTTTGATGAGTCAAAAGATCTACTCGCACAAGTTAGAATGAAGAAGTAGAGGTTATGAGTTACAGAGGAAAAACGGCTTCAGTTGCGGAATTTTCAGAAAATAGAATGAAACCGAAATAGGCACCTGCTTCAGACGAAAATATTTGGGAAATAACTATAAAACATTTTCGCATCTTTCCCGGAACATAAGTGCTGAGTTAGACATGTGTTGAGTGGTCGAGTAATAAACAGTAGTTGATTGGTACCTTCACCGAGCGTGGTTCCCACAGATGGATGGAAGTTGCTTAGCCAAAGGCCAGCACATCATCACGTAAAAGTATCCTCTGGTTATGTCTCGTGGTAGCCAGTGCTGAAACCCCGTTGGGATCAATTTTCCGGTAACGGTTAAGTATATGCGCGGGGTAAGGAAAAACAATGGAGAACTGCCCACGATATTTTTAAAAGTTAACGTTGTTCGGTAGAGTTTTTTGTCGGCCTTTCGTGGTCAGGATGACGTTCGCTGACCTGCAGTACCCGAAGAATCGAATTTGCTGGAATGTCTACATTGGCTCATTGTTCTGCACCCCCCACACGTTAGTCCTTAGCAAGATGAAAGCATATTTTTAGAGAGTCCTGCATGGGGAGCAGTCAGACAGCGTGCATACGTCTGTGAGCAAAACAGGCGTGTTAAAACGCTGGCGAATTCGCCAAACAACAGTTAGCAGTTTCTTACCCCGCGCACATACTTAATCCTTGCCACCTTACGTCTAGAAACATTGAGCGATTTAGGTCACCGTTGCAGGAGTTTTGGGATCCATTGTAAACACGTGAAACCACTCTTTACTGGGTCTTCCACAGCGAACAACTTGGCTAATTAGTAACACTTGATGACAGTTATCAATTCCACCAGTGAAAATGCTAGAATTTGAACACCACTAACAGGACAGACAAAGCGCAAATCCACACCCCTCAACTAACACCCGAGAACTCTACTCACAGCCAGGACTAGTCATCACAGTGGCAACAATACTGTGCCCATTAAATACCATTCTTCTTTCCGCAACCCTCTGCATTAGCGGTCTTCTGTGTGTCGTTACTCATAGCCGAAGCTGGAAATTAAACCAGGCAGCTGCTACGACTAGGCACCTTGGTGCTAACGCATAACTCAAGACCACAGTTAGAAGGAGGTCCGCTTCTGCCATACCTGGTTCCTCGTTTTCATAACTTCTGGCGGGGTCTCCAGAACTCTAGGATTCTCAGAAAACCAATTTATTTAATTACTGTGCACATAGCACGCAGTGACTAGAGATGCCTTAGAATATCCTATTGCTAGGACAAAATGTGCGCTCAAGACGGATAGTTATCGAATTACTCATCGTGTATACCATCGACGGAAGCCGCAGATGCCTGAGCTACGGAACCAGAATAAATCCTGCGTGGTTGCCTCTGAAATGGAGAAAATTTTTGGTTTCCTTAAATGTCAGAAAAGAAGTTTACTTCCTTTTGAGCCGGCCTCCAGGCGCATACAATTGGGAGAGCACTGAATCGGCATCTAGTCCAGATCGTTGGCTAGACACAAAAAGAAAAACAGACCTATTGTCGTGAATTAATAAAAAGTTAGTAGGTCATTCAACTGGAAGATTTCCAGAAAGTCAGCAATTGAAGAGGTCTGCAACCAGGTTACTTTCCAGAAATTTCGCACCTTAAAATACCTTTTGCAATAAATGGAAAATGAAGATGACGAACACTGCTAGTAAAACAAGTGGTCGCCTGCGGAGTAGCTTCGAGTTTCTACGTACGGTCGGATGGGGATGATAGACCTGGGTCAGGGCGTCTCAATGATCACCCGCCGATTTGTTCTAAATGACACAAGATCTAAGAAGTGATTTCGCGCTGTGGCACGGACGCTGAGAGGACGTAACGCAAACCAAGGGACAGAGAAAGGCGGCAATAGTGCGCATGCAAGCGGACTTTTAGATCGTTTTTGGTTACTAAAAGACGGAGTTTCCACCTAAGCGAACTCCTCACGTCAACTTTTAAAAGGTAAAGCTTCCTCGGGCAAAATGATAGGACTGGGACGCGTGGAGCGTACAGTTTAGTTACCTTGGACGTGATGGCTGGCTGTCTTTCGGTTACCCACCTCACATAAATGACTACCACCGAATAGTCATTTTTAGTTTCGAACATATGAAACATTACCTTTCGTGCGATCTAGTTTCTGCAAATACGTAATTTATAAATGGAACGAGCAAATCATTGGCAGTTTCAGCAGAACATTAGTGCATTCATTGTCGTAGAACGCAACCCAAAAGTAGGCAAAGATAGCGAAGATGGACGCGATATAAAGGCAAAGGCATGTACTTCCGATGACGGTAGAAAGTTATCAGTGGGAACTACATTGAGATGAAAAGCGTTTACGACAGAAAGGTCTCGCTAGTCTGCGACTGGAATATTTAAATGATAATTCAGGACGGAGAAGTTGAGAGTTCGAAGGTGAAAAGTTGAGAAATAGAACTGGATCAGAAGATGAAGTGGAGAGCATACGTAGCTATCAATAAATTCTCGTAGGGCCAGTACAATTATATGGGAAGGGGTAGAAGTAAAAACACGTCAGTGATAACATAAATCACCGAGACGGATTCATTGTGACGTTGACGTTTTTTGTGAGCCTGGTCGACTCATTGTTGTCGAAACATGAAATATACAAAATTGAACGAAACATTTAAATGATTTATCCAGCTGGTCGGGCTTGAGCTGTGCTACGGACACTGAGAATGAACCCTAAAAATCTTGCATAGACAAACTAGTTGATCTGATTTTCCATCCAGGGGAAATGAGCTATTGGGAGCTGCGGAAGCCAGAAAGCCCGACAGCAACATTATTTCCACGACACTAATTGTGTGTATATTTGTGTGCCTTTGAACACAGTGACATTATCCGCAGCGAGTCGTGCGGGAACATGGAGAAAGGAAACGACCTGGAGGGCCTCAATCCCCTCGAGGGCTCATTAGAGGGCAATGAGGACGGACTGACGGGGATACCACTTCGAGATCTCTATCGCCAAAGGATGATCAAGAATCTAAAGGAGACAAAGGCGAACAGGCGAAAGAAATCGGGCACCAAATCAGTCAAGAGCCAATAAAGAGTACTCCGCCCGCCCGCTGGCCCCTCCCACCCCCAATAATTTGAACGTCCACAAAGTGCAATCACAGTACCGCTTTTTCTCTCACCCCTAAGCACAGCACGCCCCACGCCTTGCCTAAAACAGATTTTGTTAAACCGAAATTATCATGTAGGCGGCTGCGTTGGAGAGAACGCAGGCCAGCGAGTCGCGGAAAGCGCCCTTCACCGAGATGAGAGAGGGTGCTACGAATCTGCACACATCAGAGTATTTCCCCTCCACCTTCGAGGCCCTGCATGCAAGAACCCGATCCTTCGCACCCTCATTTACTCCTGTCAAACTGCCAACTGCGCCATCATTGTGAAAACCACCCGGACAATCGATGGGAATTCTGATACTTGAGCACCTCATCAACCTTAATATTAATTCCTATTTTTCTCCGTAAAATAACCCATTTCTGTCGACAGAACTCCAATCGCATGCACTAGTGTGTGACTGAGAGCATGGATAATGCTCATCTACGCATTGACCAGGGCAGATATGGTTATGTAGCCATACCTGAGGAAAGCAAACCCCAGCTACGGGAGCGGAGGTAATAGGGGTATTCAGAGGTGGGACCGGGGAACGCAAAGGCGACGAGGTCAGGTAGCTGTAAGCAAAAGAAAAGCTACTGGGAATGCGCGGTGGTACTTTGAGTGGTTGAGAAATAGTTGCCCTAGTCCCTAACACCAACCCCTGACCCTAACCCTTGACCGCAGCCCAAAATTCTAACCCTGAAACATTCAACGCGAAAGTTAGGAGACGACAGGCCGAAAGTCAAGAAGGACCACCGGCATTGGGCCAAAAAAGGTAGACACGGCAACAAGGCAGCCAAAAGAACACACACCGCAACACCATGCCAGCGTAATCACACCAACTCAAAATAATTAAGCAGGCCAACAGTAGTGTGTCCATCAGGCGCGGCTACATACAGGTGGGCTAACTCATGAAATGTCGACCGAAATTCCGAAATGCGCTCTCCTTTCGACATAACTAATTAAGTGGGGTTGTAAAACTAGTCAACCTGCAACAAAATTCTATAATACTTCAGTTACCCCAGAATGTTGGCTTTCAAATGAGCTTCCTTCCGGCCGCATGCAAAAACTACACTGTAAAGAATGGCTACTTAAGTAGCATGAACTTTTCTCATTGATTTTCCATGCCCCTAAAAGTCCAATTATATTTCATGGAAAACATGCATAAAAATAACCATTCTTCTTCTTCTTCTTCTTCTTCTTCTTCTTCTTCTTCTAATTTTATACTCGAAGAGGGACATAATTCGATTTTAAAAAAGTTTCTAATTGTGGGACTTCTAAATACCGTGAAATGGCCGTTCATAAATCGTCATGTCTCTGCATTTACCGGTGTGGCTTGTAAAGTTAACAATATGAATCAAATCCACTGTTAAATTTTATAAACCCTACATGCCCCCCCCCTATTACCGGAGAGAAATGTGTTGTTTTTCGTACGCGGAAAATATACGGCTTGTAGGTTGGAAACCCTGAATGCAAGGGTAACGGCAGAGCGGGTTCAAAATTACTCGGGAATTGTAAAAGTTTTTAAAAACCGAATATTACCCTTCCTTCGAGTATAAGGTTGGAATAAGACGTAATTGTCTACCGAATGAGCGAAAGAATGAATATTTTATGCATGTTCTCCATGAAATATAACTAGACTTTTAGCGGCCTCGAAAATCAATGAAAATTCATGCTACTTAAGTAGTCATGTTTTACAGCGTGCGCCCTTTGCATGCAGCCGGAAGGAAATTCTTTCGAAAGCCGGCATCCTGATGTAACGCATTTCCGTCGACATTTCATGAGTTGGCCCACCTACTGTAACCAAATCTTGCCGTTGGTCGAATATGGTTGATGCATAACATGCAGGGCAGGTTTAACAGGATAGTCTCCCACTGGTCTAAAGAGTTTCTTAACGCAAACGGCCTTCATTAGGGAATCACGGGAATTAGTCGGAGTTATGTCATCCCACTCAGCGGGTCAAGACAGGTTCTGGGTCGCCATCGAGTGTGCAAGAGCCTACACTCCTCCATGCAGTTTCCGAAATGAAGCAGGAGACTAGAGAGGCACATAGGAATTTGTGGGTAACGGTGATTGCGAGCGCCTAGTTTGAGCACATGACCGCCGAAGGTAATGCGACGCTAAGCCTCACTTAAGAAACGGTTACGGTAACGATTGCGACCTTCGGGGGCATGGGGTACGATACGGCAAGTGAAGATTTTTAACAACTGCCAGTGGAAAACTGTGAAGTGCAATAGAAACTCCTCTCAGTATCCTCCTGAAAAGTACGACCGTCCGAGTGCCCTTTGAAAATGACTGGACCATAGATTTGTTGAGGACCATGAGAAATATCGCTAAAATGCCACAACTAAGACGGGCCTTTGGCTCAATTCGGATAAGGATGCTTACAATAGTATCGTCCGTTGAGCAGACGAATATCGACTGTTACTGATGGACTAGTAGATTTTGTTTCCGGTCAGAAGGAGTCACAAAGTCCAGACGTAACGGAGCGACATCCCTGTTAGTATTACGGCTGCAGTTTGCTAATATGGCCGGATGCCCTTAATGGCATTAAGCAAGTATAACTGGTTGGGTAGGAAGACAGACAGGAATGCCACTTTAGTGTCCGATTCCAGGTTGGTAACGTTGACAGTTGGGGACCGATAATTTATGAAAGGGAAATGGCTCCAAAGAAAGTATTTATTTTACTGCCGACTTTCCCCAGAGCTTGGTTGGTTGACCGCTGTCGAAACACTAAACGCACAAAATCAGACGGAACTTCAGATGAATTGCCGACTAATCGACCTTTAGCTGATCAATTTTGTTCTTTCGCTTTTTCAGCCATTTTGGTGGCGGACTTGAAATCTGCCTGCGTTATGAATCATCACACTGGGAGATGGTGCTTGAACCTCTGTAAGGTTGTTCGATCTGGCGGCTCTTTTTATCTCCCGCTATGTGGGTTCGTCGTCCGTGCGTGACTGTTCGGTTTTCTTAAGTCCCGCGTCGCCGTCTTGTTCTGGCCTCTTCGTACGTAATGACGCAGGACTTTAGGAGTCGTTAGAAGACCAAGGTGCCTGTTAACGGAGCCGGCATCTGAGTACGAGGCCTCGATTTTGTCTTCGGCTGTTCGCTACATGGACATCACTTCCGTCGTTAAAACAAATGACATTGGCCGCCTTAAACGACTACTGAGTGCCGTTGACCAAATTATTAAATTCCCGATGGAAACCGAGACAAACAACTAACTTTCCTTCCTCCTGGGTGGTTTCTCGACTGTCACAACTCGTCAGAATAGGCGCAGCGCATTGATCCGAGGCAACAGTTCGTCGCTGTTTGAAGCAACTCAAGGACACGCTAGCACTCACCAAGACCACAACAGTTGTCTACAAAATATGTTCCAATTATGGGGCCGTAACGAAAATTGTAGACTCGCCCACAAGAGCAGGTGCATCTCCAGAACAGCACGACACACTCGGATGTCAACTCCGCCAACAGGCACCGTAGCTTCTTATCACCCTGTGTCGTTATGTGCACAAAGATCAGGGCGCGACGGCCACACGGAACTTAATAGGACCGACCAGACGAACTCATCCGATGGAGAACGAGGAGGAGAGCCACCAAATCAAACAATCTCGGAGAGGCTCAACCACCCTCCACCGAGATGATGACTCACAACGTCATGGAACGCGCGCCACGAGCGATTAACGAACCGGCCAATGTAACGTAAGAAAAAGCCGCTACCTAAACTAGTAAGTAGCTGTTATTAATAAGTTGAAAAGAAACAGATGAATAGAATAACCACGGCCAGAGGGTGAAAATACAGTTTCTGAACAGGTATACCTAAAGGAAAAGTAAGTGGAAGCCCATACAGACAAAAAATTAAGGGATAAGAAAACTAAATATGAAATCGAAACCATGAAGAAAACTCTGTCGCAAATAAAAATGCACGTTTTTATACTGCTCTAGAGAAGATGGCACATGCCACGGTATGGCCCGCTGAAAGGACAGATAGATAAAATCGAGATCGAAGAAGGAAAGGCAGGGAAGTCCGTCGGGAGGTTCACTGCTTTATAATCTCGTAGTAGACGAATTGACCGAAAATCACCAAGTCGATAAGGATCTGCAGGACGCCACAAACGATAAATTGGACAGGCGATGACGAGATGAAAAAGTAGATTACTTTGGCGACGTCACCAACAGTCCAAAGTGCTACCATTTGCAGGCTAGAAGAGAGTAAAACAATGTACTTTCTGAGAGGAAAATGACATTCCGCCTTTGCTGCGCGCATATCAACATGTGCAACAAAAACAGGGAGAGAACCTGTATGTAAGGAGGAAAACGCCCTGCACAGTAAAGATGCGCAACAAACCGGCGCTGGCAACGATGATTGGCTCGTCTCCTTCCATTTATCCAAAAAAACGTTGATGTGGCTATTAACGCCTGACCTATCACAGTAAACCGCCCCCGGAGGACTCAAGGCTACCAATATTGTGTGGCACCATCCAGCAGAACTCATGTATCGTCTCGTAGATAACGAGAGTCAATTTCAGCAGATAGTCTCGTTAGCCTGTCACCAAAGGACGTTCGTGTATGCGGGTGAGGGCACACTTCTTTTTTAAACTGTGGTGGCTTCCGGTATTTCAAAAAGATGTAGGTTGGACTGGACGAAAATGGAGGGGAGGAGGCAGAGCTATTTGGCCCTGTGCTCTAGGTAAGCACAGGTATTTTGAGATACCGGTTCGGAGCAGCGGAGGAGGCGGTCGGACTTACCTTCCGATTGTGTGGTGTTGGCATCTCAAAAGGCTCATTGTGGAATGGCCCCGCCCACAGACATCTTTTTTAACACCTTCCTGTACTTTTCAACGCTAATACTACGTGAGTTTTAGTTGCTGCAGCCTTCAGGTAAATGTGCGAATCGGCCCTGATACCGATCTGCGCCCTACGCGCTCAACTTACCTCTAAGGGGCT